ACCTCTATAAATGCCCTTTGCCTCCCAGCTCTTTCCTCTATTTCCCTTGATTTTCCTCAAAATTGCAAATCTTTTCTTTCTCATGGAAGACCACATTTACCAAATTTGAATTTCAAAGGTATGACTGGTGGGAGGGCAAACCCATCCTGTGAACTGATCTCCTTTAATCTCATTTAAAGGAAAGCCTGCAAGGTTCAATCAGTCCAATTTAAGATGTGTCAATGGTTGATCTTCTGTTTCTCCCTCTTCCCCTTTCACACCCTGTTGTATGGATCTGGTGTCTTCAAGCTGTTTGTTCTTTAAAGTGCACAACATTGCCATTGAGGCAGACTAGCAAAGGAAACTCCATTTTTGTAGACTGCTAAGTCACTTGCCCGCTCCTCCCTCTCATCTCAGAAAGTTGACTGCTAGGTGACCTGACCATTGTCCCTCCCCTTGCGGGAAAGTCTCTGCTTGTGATTAATTTTAGAATGTACTCCCATGTTCCCAGGTTCTGGACACTGCAATTAGTTTTGACTATTCTTCAGTATATCATTTGTTCTGATTCAGTATTGTTCCCATGGATGTTGTAATCTGAATGGTGTAGTTAATCTTGTTATGGTAACCAGTCAACTAGTCAATTTTTTTTCATTCTTTTAAGTAAAAGATATGTTTTGAGTATTACCTCTATTTCAGTATTGCCTAGTCCTTGTGCTGTATTATTCTGTGCACCACTGAGACCTTGCAGCGTGCTTGTATTGTTGGCTTTTTAAACAAAACGTCACTGTTGCATAATGTAGGCACTCTGATGTGCATTTCGTGGCGGTGGGAGTGTGTTTGGGAGGCCCCGTGGAAAGCATTCTTCCACCCTCCCCACCCCTGGCCCCAGGTTAGAGACTCAGCTTGGGCCTTTGCCCTTGCGGGGAGCCACAGAAAGTCACCTTGTTAGAAAATGTTTTAATTTTTCAACATCTAGATGTGATGAGGTTTTTTTCTGATTTATACTTTGTGTTTAGCTACGGTTTTTTATTTGTCAAGCTGGAAATTATGTTATTAGCTTAAAGTTGGATTTGATCTTTGTTTAAATGCCAAAAATGTACTTAAAAAAATGAGTTACTTAGAATGCCATACACTTGCCCAGTTTCCTATGTGTATATAGTCCTGTTTGCGTATATTTAGGACACATGCTTTCTAAGTCCGTTTTACCCTTGGCTCATTTGGCTTGCTGTCTGACCTCCTTTTGTATGTGTTGGTCAAGGAACCTTTAAGATAAGTCTAAATTTAAGCCATGATTACCTTTAAAGCTTTCTCTGTACAGCCTTAAGTGTTCGTGAAAACATCGCGGCTGGCTGCTTTGCCTTAGTGGACATACAGGGCTTGGTAAGTGAATTTCTGACAGAGCGCTCCTGCTCTAGAAAGTCTAGATGGCCGAAGGACCATTTTGTATTGTTTCCTGGCCAACAGTCTGATTATACTCTATGTGCTAATATAACTGATCTTTTTGTTGTTGTTGGTACAGATCGTCTTAATGGTAGGTCCAATAAAAAAGAGGGAAGAAGAAAGGATTAAATAATTTAAATTCACAATTTAAAAACAACTTTGGTATTGTTTCTTTTATGATAAGGACTGTACCTTGTAATAATGCATGCTTGTTCTTCTTGAAGTTACCAGAATGTTATAATCAATGCTGTACCTTGTAACGCTCCCTAACCCTCAGGGATAGTAACATTAATTTTGCTTTCTGCTTCTGTTCATGCTTGCTTGAACCCAGACAGGTGATAAATGAGTTTTTTGGCCTTAAAAGATGAACTGAAATGTGGACTTGGGACTTCAATCAAAGAATGGCTTTTAGATTCTAGCAGTCCGGTTATAATCGAATAAAGACTCTTTTAAATTACCAAGACATTATAGTGGCTGTCATTTATTCAAATACGCAACACCATTTGAAATAATAAACATTTTGCTCTGGCCTGAGTGATCCAAGTCACTCAGCCCTAACTGCAGACCTTCCGATAAGTGGTTTCTGAAAATGTTTTCTTAACTATCCTTTCCAAGGATTAT